ATATATATTATTTTTTAAATAATTTACACTAAATCTTCCAATTCTGTCAGAAGATAATCTTTTTACAACTAACATTTACAAAGTTCTATATTTTGTTTTGCTTTTTGTTATAGAAATCATTCCAGACTGGGACAAATGCTCGTCTAGATGAACGCATCTTTGCTATGTGTCAAGTGAAAAATCAGCCCTTGGTTTACCTTATGCTTACAACACATCCCACTTTGTATAGAGTTGACAATCTCTCTGATGAGGTAAGATCAATTTCCTTTTTTAGTGGCTTTTCCTTAAAGGTTTATAAGCTTAATGTCATATTTAGTCTAGTACAGAATTACAGAAGGATCTGTTATTAAAATTCTTTATTTATTTATTGCTTGCTAAGTTTATGTAAAGAAATTTTAGAGCCAGGCACTGTCGCACATGCCTGTAATCCCAGTGACTTGGGAAGCTGAGGCAGGAGGAGCTCAAGTTTGAGATCAGCCTCAGCAACTTAGCAAGACCCTGTCTCAAAATTAAAAAAAAAAAAAAAAACAAGCTGGGGATGGGCTCAGTGGTTAAATGCCCCTGTGTTCAGTCCGTGGTACCAAAAAAGAAATAAATAACAAACTACAAAAATGTTCAGTTTAGGGAAGCTCTGGAAAATAGTTTCTTTCAGTTTCCAAAGACAAATCTCTAGAGCAGATCTAAGAAAGTATGAGATTATCAAATTGACCAGAGAAATCTACTTATTTATTTAAACAAATTGATCTGTATCTTGAGCATGAGATTATACCTGAACACCTAGGTCAATGTTCAGTGTAACAGTGTCCTTGAATTAAAGAAAAAATACTTTTCCAAGTTGTAATGTTTTTGGCTTTTGATAGAAAATTTACTGGGGTTAAAGTCATAAGCATGAAGTCATAATCTTTCTAAAATTGTGATCAAGTTTAGATATTGTATGTTGAAAATAGTGTTTTAGTTAAAACCTTTTAAAATGTAAAGAATTTTAGATAACTTAAATTGTGAAATGTGAGGGTTTTGTTTTGTTTTTGCAAATGAAAACTCTTGTGAACATTATTAATTTATATTACAAAAATAAATATATGTATATATAACTGTAGATTAATCCTGTTGGATTAAGTTCAGTTAAGTGTGTTCAATTAAGTAGGCTTTACTTTTTTTTCACATTAAAATATAACATCATGGGGCTGGGGATGTGGCTCAAGCGGTAGCGCGCTTGCCTGGTATGCGTGCGGCCCGGGTTCGATCCTCAGCACCACATACAAACAAAGATGTTGTGTCCGCCGAGAACTAAAATAAGTAAATAAATATTAAAATTAAAAAAAGATATATAACATCATGACAAATTAACAAAAATATCAAATGTAATTTATTATGTCTATAATATGGATACCACTAGAGAGAATCTATTAGACTTTAAGATTTAAAGACTCTGCATTAGTTTCATAGTTTCTGATCAGCCTTCTCTATATAGAGTAGAAAACAGAGCAACTTCCTTTCCTCACCATCTGAAAAAGACAAAGCTCCATTTTCTTAGTTCACATGTGAAAATCACTGGGGGAAATTTCTCACTGGGTGTATCGGGGTTATAGTCTCTTCTGCTCCCCACTTTTCCCAAGGCCAGAAATTTCAAAGTACTGTATTACTAGTATTGAGTTAAAAGGCTCATCACCAAAGTGAAAAGAACAGGTCTCTCAAACAACAGGGAGTGCAAGATGGGAGTGATGCTGAAAGCAAAAGCACTGAGTAATAGTGTCCTCTACAAGTACACTCTCTTCCTGTCCTTATTTTCCATACTTAATTTTGTTTGCTGTACTTAATTTTTGAATTCTGATGTTTTTGTGCTTTTGAACATTAAATGAATTAGTATTTGTAAATCACTTAGAACAGTGCCTGGCCATAGGCACCATATAGATCATAACTATTATATCACTACCTCCACCATTATTAGCATTGTTATTATCATGATCTTTATCATAATTAAGCATATTTAGGAGTTGGAGATGTAACTCAATGGTTTTAGTTTTTGGTGGACACAATATCTTTATTTTACTTTATGTGGTGCTGAGGATCAAACCCAGTGCCTCATGCATGCTAGGCAAGCACTCTACCACTGAGACACAACCCCAGCCTATTGTCACATTTGTTTTTAAATCTAGCTAAGATCAGAGATTAGTTTTGGCTGGGTACATTGTCGTCCACCTACCATCCCAGCAACTCAGGTAGTTTGAGGCAGGGGAATCACAAATTTGAGATCAGCCTCAGCAACTTAGTGAGGGTCTAAGCAATAGAGAGAACCTGTCTTAAAAAATAATAAAAAGGGCTGGAGATGTAGCTGCATAGTTAAATACTCCTGCTTTAAATCACCAGTACCAAAAAATTAATAAGTTAATTTGGAGTTGGGCATGCTGGCACACGCCTATAATCCCAGTGGCTTGAGAGGCTGAGACTGGAGAATCGCAAGTTCAAAGCCAACCTCAGCAAATTCAAGGCACTAAGCAACTCGGTGAGATCCTGTCTCTAAATAAAATACAAAATAGGGCTGGGGTTGTTGCTCAGTGGTCGAGTACTCCTGAGTTCAACCCCCACTATCGAAAAAAAAAGTTAATTTGGCTTTCTTGGGATTCACAGTGGCTTTGTTTAGATAAGTGGTAAATATTTCTGTATCATCTTCATATTTAGTTGTGAATAACTATAATTTGTCTAGTAAGGCCCATACTCTTAGAGGTAACGTTCCTTTTTGTTGTTAATTGTGACTGTATTTTCTGTACCTGAAAGCCTTAATCTTTAATTCCCCAGGGAGCACTCAACATCAATGACAGAACCATACCTCAGCCTCCTATCCTTCAACTCTCTGTGGAGAAGCTGAGTAGAGATGGGGCTTTCCTCATGGATGCAGGCTCTGTGAGTAGTTTGACAACTCTTGACCCTTCTTCCTCTAACTAGTGTATCTTTTTTAGCATTTGGCTTCATTCCTCTTAATATTTCTCTTCTTGAACAGAGGACGTACTCTTTAACCTACATATTCCTGTTGGCCATTTGCTGCCTTCACAGCCTCTGTTTTATGCCATGCATGAAATGTCTCATCCCAGTAAATACTGAATTGTTATTAGTTCAGTTACAGGCTGTACACTCACTAAATATACTCATCCTTTAGATCTTTTAAAGCATACTAAGTGGTAGTGGTAAAGGTGAGTGAATACACTATTAGGCTACCTCTCAAAATAATTTTATTCCTTTCACAGGTACTGATGCTTTGGGTTGGAAAAAATTGTGCACAAAATTTTCTCACTCAAGTTTTAGGAGTTCAAAACTATGCATCAATTCCACAGACTATGGTAAGATGCTTTTATTTTAGTGATTATAGATGACTTAAAGGATGCTTCACATGTGACAAAAATATGAATATTCTATTTTGAAATCAGAAATTCATATTGTGTATACCTCCAAATGAGAAAATAAACCCACATTATTTTTCTTTCAAACTGAAAATACCCTCATTTTACATTTTTGTCTTGTTTGTTTGTATTTTGAGACTAGGTCTTGCTCTGTTTCCAAGTCTGGCCTTGAAATTGTGAGCTTAAGACATCCTCCTTCCTCGGTCTCCCAAGTAGCTGGGATTACAGGCGTGCATCACCGTGCCTATGTTTTAATGGGATTCTTTGTCGATTTGCATTATTGATTTGTCTATTCTTATGTGTTTAACACAGTGTTCTATTTTGAGGAGAAAGCATTTAATTTAGTTAATGATCAAAAAAGGATTTGCTGCAGATGGCATTAATGCATTGTGACATTTTTGGTTTTGACAAGTGATTTCTTATTTTTTGCAAGATCTTTTAAACTGCTGCTTTGGAGAGAGAATTAAACTAATTTGCTGTACTGGTTTACATAACAAATAATAGGTGGTCATTGTTGGTTGAATTAATGTTGATTATTGAAAAAAGTAATAATGGGATTCTTGTCTGTCACTAATTGTGTGTTTTTGGACAAGTCACTCAGTAATCAGATTTGTAAAATAAGAATGCTCTTAGTCAGGCATGGTGGTGCATGTCTGTATTCCGAGCAACTCAGGAGGTTGAGGCAAGAGGATCACAAGTTTGAGGCCAGCCTCAGCAATTCAACAGAAACACTGTCTCAAAATTTAAAAATTAAAAAGAGTTGAGGATACAGTTTGTAGTTCATCAGTAGAGTGCCACTGGGTTAAATCCCCAGTACCGTGGGGAAAAAATTAGAATGTTTTTGCTTATGGAGGAATGATTGAAATAACCCATGATAAATCACTTGTAAAATGGATAGTTTTGAATTTTAAAGTTAGAATTAATAATAGATCATTTCGGGGGGGCTGGGGTTCTGGCTCAGCAGTGGAGCTCTCGACTTGCACATGCAAGACCCTGGGTTCAATTCTCAGCACCACATAAAAATGAATAAGTGAAATGAGGGTATTGTGTCCAACTGCAACTAAAAAATAAATATTAAAAAAAAAAAAACACTACTGGGGTTGTGGTGCAGTGGTAGAGTGCTCGCCTAGCATGCATGAGGCACTGGGTTTAAACCTCAGAACCACATAAACGTAAAATAAAGATACTTTGTCTACCTAAAACTAAGAAATAAAATAAATATTATTTTTTAAAAAATATTTATATTTTAGTTATCGGCGGACACAACATCTTTGTTGGTATGTGGGGCTGAGGATCGAACCCGGGCCGCACGCATGCCAGGCGAGCACGCTACCACTTGAGCCACATCCCCAGCCCAAAATAAATATTATTTTTAAAAAATATTAAAAAATAATAATAGATCATCTCATATAGTGTCATTTTTCAGTCCCTACTGCCAGTTTGTATCCAACTTTTATATATCAGGGTTCTATGACTGTTCATAGATGTCATTTGGGGTTTCATACACTTAAAAAAAGATTTATGTCAAGATTATAGCCAGGGCCGGGTGTGGTGTTACACACCTGTAAATCCTAGTGACTTGGGAAGCTGAGGCAGGAGGATCTCAATTTCAAGCAACTTATAGAGACTCTGTCTCAAAATAAAAAACAAAGGGCTGGGAATATAACCCAATGGTAAAGTACCCCTGATTCAATACTTAGTACTCCCTTCCCCCCAAAAAAGATTATAGCCAGGATTAGCAGTAGCTTTCAGGCCCGGAGCAAAACTACTGGATTAGATGACCAGGTACTTTAAGTAATGAAGCAATAAAGAATCATGATCTTTGTAATAACCATCTGAATGAACCAATTAATTCTAAATATCATAATAAAATGAAGAGAAGAGTTAAGCAAAATATACCTAAGGAGGTCTCCACCTGTTTTTGTAATTAAGGTTTTATTGGAACACAGCCATGCCCATCCACCTATGTGTTGCCTCTTATCTGCATTAGTATAACAGCAACAGAAACAAAATGAACTCCAAGCCCAAAGTATTTAGTGTCTGGTGCAACAAAATCACCAGGTACTTAATATATGTGGTTGTTATTTGTTTTTTTTCCTGATACTGAGAATTGAACACATGTTGGGCAAGTGCTCTACCATTGAGCTATATCCCTAGCCCCCACCTCTTTTTTAATTAGACTAGACTTCATTAAATTGCTCAGGCTGGTCTTAAACTTGAGATCCTCTCCCACTTCAGACTCCCTAAATAGTTAGTATTACAGATGTGTGCCACCAACTCAGCAACATTAAAATTTGAGGAGTACTATAGACCATACATTAAATATATAATTAGAGTACATTGGTTTTATTTAACAGACAGACCTTCCAGAACTTGATACACCAGAATCTGCCAGAACAGTAGCTTTTATCTCCTGGCTTAGAGAGCAAAGACCATTTTTCCCAGTACTTTACATAATAAGGTAAGTCAAATTTTTCATTTTTAAAACAATTTGGCCTTGCAAGAACCTGTTTTTTTGAATCATAGATATATGTGGCCTAATCCTAATGCTTAAGCAAACCTCTTAAAAGAATATGGAATTAAAATGAAAACATTCCTTCTAAAAACTGGAAAAAGACAGAGATGCCCTTTTTCATCACTTCTGTTTAACATAGGTCTTGAAACACTGGCCAGAGCAATTAGACAGATGAAAGAAATTAAAGGGATACACATAGGAAAAGAAGAACTCAAATTAGCACGATTTACCAATGATGAGATTCTATACCTAGAAGATCCAAAAAATTCCACCAAAAAACTTCTAGAACTAGTAAATGAATTCAGCAAAGTAGCAGGATGCAAAATCAACACCCATAAATCAAAGGCATTTCTGTATATCAGTGACAAATCCTCTGAAAGGGGAAACTACCCCATTTACAATGGCCTCAAAAAAAGAAAAAAAAAAAACTTGGGAATCAACCTAACAAAAGAAGTGAAATACCTCTACAATGAAAACTACAGAACACTAAAGAAAGAAATTAAAGAAGACCTTAGAAGATAGAAAGATCTCCCTTGTTCTTGGATGGGCAGAATTAATATTATCAAATGATCATACTACCAAAAACATTATACAGATTTAATACAACTCCAATCAAAATCCCAATGACATTCTGTTGCTGTGGGTCCCTCGGCTACACTCAATCGAGGCAGGTGTGGGGGATGCGGAGTTAAAGCACAAGACACCTGGAGCTGCTGAGAGCAGGCAGGTGACAGACCTCCAGTTGATCTCCTGCAAGCTCATTTAATGCGGAAGTGATTACAGTTGATGGATGCATCCTCCAGTCATACATAAGCAAACAAGGTATATAACATTTAGAAACCAAGCATCTTAGGATTAATACTGCACTATGAGGAAGCTCTAAATATTGCTACAAGGTGGAAAGCAGACTGATATGATTATTGTCCCTATGAAAAGAGAGCGTTATGAGTTGGGAAATTCATGCCCTGAGGCCCTTGTCTCTCTGTTCCTGGCAACGCTGACCTCAATCACTGAGGATGTGGTTTCTCAGAGGCTTGCTAGAGCAGAGCACCCCATCCTGCAGGTGTTCCTGTCAGGCCTGTAGGAGCATAGGTTTTCCTAGCACTCTGAGCTGCTTGTCGTTGTGAGTTGCAAACCTAAAGTTACTCCCACATTTCCTCCCTTTTTATTAAATTTGTAGCCAAAGGAGAACCGTGATAAGAGAAGGAAAGGAAAGAGAAAAGGGAAGAAAAAAGGGAAAAAACTACAGGCAAAGAGGCATGCGGAAGAGAAGGGGGAAAACGAGAAAAACATTCTAATAGCCCTTTCCTTCAGCTGCCCTTTCCCTGTGGTCCAACATAAAATTAGAAAGCAAATCCTGCTGTGGCGGGTAGGCAACTGCTATTGGCCAGGTCTCTGCTACCTGGGTCCCGATATGAGCTGGGCGTGGGAAGCAAAGCAGCCATGGGAGCAGGAGGACTCCCTCAGAAGGGGTGACGGTTCAGGCCCCTGTAAAGTTGGTGGGGTGAGGGTCTATGCCCCACCTCTGTTGGCCCCTAAGTTTTGTCCTGATGGCCCCTCTGCGACTGTGCCTGTCTTAGGTTGTTCCTTCCCTGAGGAATCTTACTCATCTTGGACTAACCAGCCATTCTCCAGGGCCAAACAGGGTGATGTGAGGTGTTTGAGTGAGGGAGAGGCATGCATCCTCTGAGAAGGTCAGTTCTCTATCTCCTTGGTAGCCAATGTCCCCATGGCCTCCATGCCCAGCATCTTCCTTAGGATCCCCTCACCTGCTGGCGGGGCCCTGGCTCTGGTCACAGAGCCTTCTCCAGGGAGGGCCCAGCTCACAGCACTTGGTAAGAGAGACATATGGCTTGGTACCAGCCTTCAGGAAGCTTCAACATCAGCATGGGCAGGAAAGTCCAGGCTGCAGCCTTGGACAAATGGCTTGTGAGAATAGTGTCCCTCTTGGTATAATGCAAGAGGGGTCATCAAAGGACAAAGAGGAGAAAGGCCCATCTCAGCAGGAAGTCCAGTTAGGGAGGACTTTCTTAGCCCAAGGTAACCCCATGGATAGGGAATATACAAGATCCCTCCCAGTCAAATTAGAAATGAGGAGGTGTCCTTCCTGGAACAATAGGGTAGGGAGATTTCTAGAACAGGCTGTGTTCAGGAAGGAAGGAGAACTATAGAACCACAGAACTAGCAAACAGTAATCAGGTGAGAAAAAAGAAGAGATATTGGGACAAAGCTGAGAGACACAGACAAAAAACGGAGAACCGTGGCAAGATTTTGGACCTAATCCCCCATAGAAAATTGGCCCTTAGTTGGTGTCTACTTTGATCCAATCATAGCTGCCATCCACACAGCTGAAGGAGACTCCTTATTCTCCTTTTGACTTTCCTTACATGCATAAGCTATCATAGCTTGTTTAGTTTCTGTTTTGTTGAGCCTTTCTTGGAAACACCTTAAAAAAACATACATTAAAACAAGAAGAGCAATGCCAATGCCAGCAAGGATCCAATTAGCAGAGTGAATTAAAGCTGACAGTTTATCCCATAGCTGCTGTAGAAATGAGGGGTTAAGAATTAGATTTGCTCTGGTTTCGTTTAGGCTGAGAATCTGGGAATGCAGCGTCATAGTGAAATTTCTGAAAGCCATATCCCAAAGTCCCTTAAGTCTATTTGCTAGCTCAAGCTGATCTTCTGTTACATTTTTTACTGAAACAGGGGTTTGGCAAACATACAGAAATTGAGGACTGCAAGGTACTCTGACATTTAATTGAAGCATATAAATTTTTTCATCAGTAAGGTCAAACTGTTGTTGTAATATAAAGATACCTCCTTGCAAGTGCAGGTTTAGTTGCTCCTGGGTGGTCAGGGCCCTGGTGGAGAGCTGCACTACTTGATTAATGGTTGTAGCATCTATTGTGGATTGGGTCAAAGCTATACCAGTGGCGGTAGCAGCTGTAACCTCGACAAGGGAGGCAGCAATAATAGCAGTGGTAATGCCAAAATCTCGCCTAACTCTGGAAAGGGAAATATCTTTTGTAAAATGAACCTCTTGAATGGAGGACTCATCCTCCGTTGGGAACCACAGCATGTGGGGTATTCTCATTAGCACTGCTGTCTTAATGGAGGAGTTCCAACAATTGGTCAACTCACAGTGGGAATTATTACAATTCTTGTGACTGAGTGGAGGTTACAAAGAAAGATGGCTTAACACACACATGACCTCGAGTAGCATAGGTAGCTGAGGGATTTTTCAGATGGCATCCATGGTGACAATAGGGCTGACATCTTTACATTTGTAAGTACCACATAATAATTGTTTGCCTAATTGTAAAAAATCTCCTGACAGTTTTTCTTTTGTATTTTGAGCATTTGTTATCCATTCTATATGTCTTTTGAGAAGTACTGTATTTAATGAGAATTTTATTTTTTATCCTCCTCTTAAGTAGGGCCTGGACCAACTGATAAGCTCATCAGAGAGGAAATAGGGTCGGGAGAGGGGGAGGTAGTCTCTCCAGGAAATCCCCCTTAAGGGTATGTTCTCACTGATATTTTTAAATCTTTTCCATGGGCACCGCTGTAAGAAGGGTTGAGGCCATGAATGGCAAATCCCTAGCGTTCGTGGGCATGGTAACACCAGCTGGCAAGTCCTTGGTAGAGACCACTCTTGCTTCCCCTTCCAGGGAAAGGGGCCAAAAGCCCATGAAACCTCCTCTTCCCGACTCCCAAAGGATGTCATTATGAAAACAAATTGTATGTTTACACACTTTGTTTGCATCTGAGACATTATGCAGGATGGTAAAGGTCCATGTTGACTAATTGAAAGTGATAAATTCCAAGGATGTTGTGCTATTGGGCTTGGGATGAGGCAGTAGTGGCAAACAAAAAGGCAAGACAGTATCATCTAGACCAACAGGTAAAAGGATCCCAGGAGACGGAGCCCCCATCCACCATGTATGTACTTGTGGGCTGGTGACAGAATAATGCACAATAGCATATAAATGCAAAATAGCATATAGAGAGCCTTTGTCTGCATTGATGCATGAGAAAGGAAAAGTCCAGTTAAAGTCTCAGCAACAGCATGAGTGGTTTTCACACGGTTGGGTGTGATCCTTCCGTTTAGGTGCAGGAGAGCGTTGAGTGCTGCAGTTGCAATTGTGCCTGTGAGGGACAGTAAGCTTTATGACAATGTCGGTCCGGGGGACTCCTGCTGTCCTGAGATTTGTCCTTGGGATGTATTCTGCAAGATTTAAGAGAGAAGTATGTGCAACATTCTGATCATGATTGAATGGGTGTGGATTGCTCTCATGTTTTTTTATTTGCAGTGGCATGAGTATTTTGCTCATTGAAGGATTGTCGCCGCTAGATGGCGCCAAAGACCATCTGCTTTGTAGATAGCTGTCTGAGTGACAATTGGGGGCCATGCTTTGAAGTATGCCCACTTTAATCAGGCAGGCCAGCATAGGGCCTTGAGTTATTAAGGCTGTTAGGCAGAGGCCCTTCTTTCCACATACTTTCCTGTTAAGCACTCACCTGTGAGTTGCAGGCTATAATGCCCACATGAGCATGAAAAGAGTACCAGGGCTCTGGTCTTCAGTGGGTGACATGCTTATAGCTTGATCCGTCAGGATTTTGAGATCAATTCATGTTATTTTGTGTGTCCTCCAGTGGGGGGGGGTCTCGATGGATTTCCTCCTCTCCTTTAGGCTCATTTTTCGGAATTTGGATATCAATGGCTGGTCTGACATTTCTTGCTGGTACCCAGATGGTAAAATACAGGTGAAGCCTCTACCCTGGGTAATTAAGGGGTGTGGCCCCTTGCATGCATTAGTAAGTGGATGTCTCCACCGTACCTGGGGGACTGGGGCCAGGGAAGGAAAGGAGCCCCAGTGCTTTTATGCAGGGCTTATCCCATTTGAGTCAAAGGTAAGAAAATTGAGGGCAAAGAGAGCATGT